ATCCCTCCATGTCCCCAGTCCCATCCCCACATTCCCAACCCCTGACATTCCCATGGGAATCTGCCGGGATCCAGCGGGATCCAGTGGAATTCACCACGCTCAATAAAGGCTTTTTTTGGATGGAATTCCCGGCTCTTCGTGTCCCGAATTCCCCAATATTCCCATTCCCACATTTCCTACCCCTGACATTCCCTGTGGGAATCTGCTGGGATCCAGCGGGATCCGGAGGGATCCGCCGCCTGCAGAATTCACCGCGCTCAATAAAGGCTTTTTTTGGATGGAATTCCCGGCTCTTCGTGTCCCGAATTCCCCAAATTCACACCTGGAACCCCAAATCCAAACCTGGAATCCCAAATTCACACCTGGAACCCCAAATCCAAACCTGGAATCCCAAATTCACACCTGGAACCCCAAATCCAAACCTGAGACCCCAAATCCACACCTGGGAACCCCAAATTCACACCTGGAACCCCAAATTGGCACCTGGGAACCCAAATCCGCACGTGAAAAGCCCAGATCCATCCATGGGAATTGGGTCTGGAATGGGATCAGGAATGGGATCTAGGATGAGATTTGGGATAGGACCTGGAACAGGATCCCAGTGGAAAAGCTGGAAGTGACCAGAACAGAGGGTGAGATTCCCTGGATTTGATTGATCCCAGGAAAAGGAGCAGGATCTGGAATAGGACCTGGAAAAGGATCTGGGATGAGATTTGGGATCGGATCTGGAACCAGATCAGGGATGGGATCTGGGATGGGATCTGGACCAGGATCTGGAATCGGATCTGGGATGAGATTTGGGATAGGATCTGGAATCGGATCTGGAATTGGGTCTGGGATGGAATCTGGACCAGGATCTGGAATCGGATCTGGGATAGGATCTGGACCGGGATCTGGAATGGGATCTGGGATGAGATTTGGGATAGGATCTGGAACCGGATCAGGGATGGGATCTGGGATGGGATCTGGACCAGGATCTGGAATGGGATCTGGGATGAGATTTGGGATAGGATCTGGAATCGGATCTGGAATTGGGTCTGGGATGGAATCTGGACCAGGATCTGGACCAGGATCTGGACCAGGATCGAATGGGATCTGGGATGAGATTTGGGATAGGATCTGGAACCGGATCTGGACTGGGATCTGGACCGGGATCTGGAATAGGACCTGGAAAAGGATCTGGGATGAGATTTGGGATAGGATTTGGAACCGGATCAGGGATGGGATCTGGGATGAGATTTGGGATAGGATCTGGAATCGGATCTGGAATTGGGTCTGGGATGGAATCTGGACCAGGATCTGGACCGGGATCTGAAATGGGATCTGGGATGAGATTTGGGATCGGATCTGGAACCGGATCTGGAATGGGATCTGGGATGGGATCTGGACCGGGATCTGGACCAGGATCTGGAATAGGACCTGGAAAAGGATCTGGGATGAGATTTGGGATAGGATCTGGAACCGGATCTGGAACCGGGTCTGGACTGGGATCCCAAAGGAAAACCCGAAGGTGGGACAGAAACGGGGCAGGAGCAGCCAGGAAATTCCAAAGTTTTTCCCCCCGGATGAGAGGCCGGGAAGAACGCTGGATCCTCCCCACGGAGACACCGGTGGGATCCCCCCTCCCAAATCCCGAGGAATCCCAGAATTCCGGAGCGGGATCAGGAGCCAAAAGCTTTATTTAAAAATAGCTCTCTGTACAGGGGGCTCCGGGTGGGAATTTCGGGAACGGATCCCGTTTCCCACCGGGAAGCAGCGGAGGGGATGGGGGGTGGAGGGGTGGGAATGGATCCCGGATCTCGGGAAGCGGCTCCGTCGGATCCCAGCCCAAATTCCGGCCGTTTTCCCGATTTTTTTGTCCCCGTGTCTGGGAAGGCGCCGGCGTTCCCGAGGGTGAAGGTGCAGGAAGACTTTTCCCATGGATTGGGATCCCTCGGGGTATTGCTGAGCGGAGCCGGGAATTCCGGGAATTCCGGGATTCAGAGGAGGTGATTGAGGTGGCCCAGGGTCCCAGAGCTGGGAATTCCCGGGAATTCCGGGAATTCCGGGATTCAGAGGAGGTGATTGAGGCGGCCCAGGGTCCCAGAGCTGGGAATTCCAGGAATTTCGGGATTCAGAGGATGCGGACGAGGCGTCCCATGGTCTTGGAGCTGGGAATTCCAGGAGTTTCGGGAATTTCGGGATTCAGAGGATGCGGACGAGGCGTCCCATGGTCTTGGAGCTGGGAATTCCCGGAATTTCGGGAATTCCGGGATTCAGAGGATGCGGACGAGGCGTCCCATGGTCCCGGAGCTGGGAATTCCAGGAATTTTGGGAATTCCAGGATTCAGAGGATGCGGACGAGGCGTCCCATGGTCTCGGCCGCCTTGATCCGCACGGTCGGAGCCGGATCCTTCAGCAGCAGCTGCAGGGCTGGAACGGCACAGCCGGGTCGGCACCGGGATCGGGATCGGGATCGGGATCGGGATCAGGATCGGCACCGGGATCGGGATCAGGGTCGGGATTGGGACTGGGATCGGGATTGGGATTGGGATCGGGATCGGGATCGGGATAGGGACTGGGATCGGGATCGGCACCGGGATCGGGATCGGGAACGGGATCGGGATCGGGATCGGCACCGGGATCAGGATCGGGATCAGGATTGGGATCAGGATCAGGATCGGGATTGGGATCGGGATCAGGATCGGGATCGGGATCAGGATCAGGGTCAGGATCGGGATCAGGATCGGGATCGGGATTGGAATCGGGATCGGGATCAGGATCAGGATCGGGATCAGGATCGGGATCAGGATCAGGATCAGGATCAGGATCCGGATCAGGATCGGGATCAGGATCAGGATCGGGATCAGGATTGGGATCGGGATCGGGATCAGGGTCAGGATCGGGATCAGGGTCAGGATCGGGATCAGGATCAGGATTGAGATCAAGGTCAGGATAAGGATCAGGATCGGGATCAGGATCAGGATCAGGATCAGGATCAGGATCAGGATCAGGATCAGGATCAGGATCAGGGTCAGGATCAGGATCAGGNTCAGGATCAGGATCAGGATCAGGATCAGGATCAGGATCAGGGTCAGGATCAGGATCAGGGTCAGGATCAGGATCAGGATCAGGATCAGGATCAGGGTCAGGATCAGGATCAGGATCAGGATCAGGATCAGGGTCAGGATCAGGATCAGGATCAGGATCAGGATCAGGATCAGGATCAGGATCAGGATCAGGATCGGGATCAGGATCGGGATCAGGATCAGGATCGGGATCGGGATCAGGATCGGGATCAGGATCAGGATCGGGATCGGGATCAGGATTGGGATCAGGATCAGGATCGGGATCGGGATCGGGATCGGGATCAGGATCGGGATCTGGATCGGGATCAGGATCAGGATCGGGATCAGGATCGGGATCGGGATCAGGATCAGGATCAGGATCAGGATCAGGATTGGGATCGGGATCAGGATCAGGATCAGGATCGGGATCGGGATCAGGATCGGGATCAGGATCCCCTGGCCCAGGACACGGCACTGGAAATTCCGGGAATTCCCAGGGATTCCCACCATTTTCCCGTGGCATTCCCAATATTCCCATGGTATTCCCAGCGGATTCCTGCTTTATTCCCATCGCATTCCCACTTTTTTCCCACTGGAATTCCGCTGCATCCCCCTGGATCAATTCCCAGCTCCAGGAGCCGCTCCAGGATTTGGGAACGGGAAAATCCCGTGGGATCCATTCCCAGTCCCAGCCCGGATTCCCAGGAAATTCCCAGTCCTGACGGATTTGCCGGATCCGGGGCAATTTTTATGGATTGTTTTCCCCAAAAAATGAGGATTTCATTCCTATCATTATCCAGGATTTCAGGACCGACAGGGAAAGATTCCGGTGGGAGAAAAGTGGGATAAAAAGGGAGGAAAATTCGGGATTTTCCCAGCTCGGCTCCTTCTTTCTCCCTGTTTGTCCCAGGATTTTTTTTTTTTTTTTTTTCTCCATGGGAAGAGGAAAATTTTGAATGGAATGAAATTTAAATGAAAAGCTCGGGATGAGCCAAAAAAACCAAAAATAAAGGCTTGGGATGATCCCAAAATATTCAAATAAAAGACACAGACTCATCCCAAAAAAGTCTGAAATTACGGAATATTCACGATGATCCCAAATAAATCAAAAGTGAAGGCTCGGGACGATCCCAAAACCCCTAAAATTACAGGTGCGGGATGATCCCAAAAAATTAAAATTAAATGTTTGTGATGATCCCAAAAAACCCTAAAAAGAAAAGAAAAGGCTGGGGATGATCCCAAAAAAATTGAAAGGAGAAGTTTGGGATGATCCCAGAAAAATTGAAAGGAGAAGTTTGGGATGATCCCAAAAAAATTGAAAGGAGAAGTTTGGGATGATCCCAGAAAAATTGAAAGGAGAAGAAGTTTGGGATGATCCCAGAAAAATTGAAAGGAGAAGTTTGGGATGATCCCAAAAAGCCTAAAATTAAAAGGAAAGGTTCAGGATGATCCCAAAAAACTGAAAAGTAAAAGCTTGGGATGATCCCAAAAAGTGACAATTTGGGAATTCGGGGCTGGATTGGGAAGGAATCCCCCGGGATTTTCCCGGCCAAACCGCTCCCAGCCCCCGTTCCCGAACCCTGGAGCGGCTCCCGGGAGCCGGGATCGCATCCAGGGAATTTTTTCCCGTTTTTTCCCTTTTTTTATCCCCCGTTCCTGGGGATTCTCCCTCATTCCCGTGGGGATCGGAGCCCAGAAATGCCCCGAATTCCGGGCGGGAATTCCGGGTGGGAATTCCGGGTGGGAATTGCGGCTGCCCCTTTGTCCCGAGCCCTGGAGCGGAGGGAAAAGCGCTTTTCCCTTTTTCGGAGCCGCTGCGGCTGCCTTGGAAAGGTCGGGAATTTTCCGGGCCCGGCTCCAGGGATGAGCTCAGCCGAGAGGAAAAATTCCCTGAAATCCAAGAGGTGACCTCAGCCCGCGGCCGCGCCCGGGAGCCGCAATTCCCAAAATCCCAAAGGAGCCATTCCGCACTGAAAAGGGGATTTTAAATCCAAAAATGGGATTTTTTACTCCAAAAATGGGTGTTTTTACTCCAAAAATGGGATTTTTTTACTCTAAAAATGGGATTTTTAACTCTAAAAATGGGATTTTTTTACTCTAAAAATAGGTGTTTTTTCCCTAAAAATGGGATTTTTTTCCCTAAAAATGGGTGTTTTTTCCCTAAAAATGGGAAATTTTTACCCTAAAAATGGGTTTTTTTCCCTAAAAATGGGTGGTTTTTCCCTAAAAATGGGAAATTTTTACCCTAAAAATGGGGTTTTTTTCCCTAAAAATGGGATTTTTTTCCCTAAAAATGGGATTTTTTACTCTAAAAATGAGTGGTTTTTCCCTAAAAATGGGAAATTTTTACCCTAAAAATGGGGTTTTTTTCCCTAAAAATGGGATTTTTTTCCCTAAAAATGGATTTTTTTTCTCCCTTAAAATGGGATTTTTTTCTCCCTAAAAATGGGATTTTTTTTACCCTAAAAATGAGGAATTTTGGCCTGAAAAATGGGATTTTTTACTCTAAAAAATGGGGTTTTTTTCCCCTAAAAATGGGATTTTTTTTTTCCCTAAAAATGGGGGGTTTTTTCTCCCTAAAAATGGGATTTTTTTCTCCCTAAAAATGGGATTTTTTTTCTCCCTAAAAATGGGATTCTTTTTACCCTAAAAATGAGGAATTTTGGCCTGAAAAATGGGATTTTTTACTCTAAAAAATGGGGTTTTTTTCCCTAAAAATGGGATTTTTTTTTTTACCCAAAAAATGAGGAATTATTGCTTGAAAAATGAGAATTTTTTTTCCTCTAAGAATGAGGAATTATGTCTTGAAAAATGAGATTTTTTTTTCCCTAAAAATGGGATTTTTTCCCTAAAAATGGGATTTTTTTCCCTAAAAATCTTGCATTTTGGCATGAAAAATTGGATCTTTTTTCCTTAAAAATGGGATTTTTTTCACCCTAAAAAAGAGGTATTTTGGCTAGAAAAATGGGATATTCTTTTTCCCTAAAAATGGTATTTTTTATCTCTAAAAATGAGGAATTTTGGCCTGAAAACCAGGATTTTTTTTCCCCTAAAAATGGGAAATTTTTTTCCTCTAAAAATGAGGAATTATGGCTTGAAAAATGGGATTTTTTCCCCTAAGAAATGGGATTTTTTTCCCAAAAAATGGGATTTTTTTAGCCTAAAGAGAAGAATTATGGCTTGAAAAATGGGGTATTTTTTCCTGAAAATGGGAAATTTTTTTCCTTAAAAATGGTATTGTTTTCCCTAAAAATGAGACTTTTTCCCTAAAAATGGGATTTTTTCCCCCCAAAAATGGGATTTTCTTACCCTAAAAATGAGGATTTTTGGCCTGAAAGCCAGGATTTTTTTTCCCTTAAAAATGGGATTGTTTCCCCTAAAAATGGGATTTTTTTTACCCTAAAAATGATGAGTTTTGGCATGAAAAATGGGATTTTTTCTCTAAAAAATGGGATTTTTTTCCCTAAAAAATGAGGAATTCTGGCCTGAAAAATGGGATTTTTTTCCCTAAAAATGGGATATTTTTTTACCCTAAAAATGGGATTTTTTCCCCTAAAAATGAGGAATGAGGGGTTTGCCCAAAAATTGAAGTTTAGGCCTTACAAAAGTAGATTTTATTTTTTCCCCCTAAAAATGGGGGATTTTCCAAAAAAATGAAAAAGTTTCGATCTAACAATGGGATTATTCCCCTTAAAAATGAGGCATTCGGCCCTAAAAAATGTGGGATTCTCCCAAAAGAGAAAAGTCTAGACCTAAAAAATGGAATTTTGCCCCAAAAAATGATGAATTTGGCCCTATAAAATGGGATTCTTTTCCCTAAAAAATGGGGAATTAATTCTAAAAATGTGAGAATTCCACCTGAATTTTGGGAAGTTTAGTGAAGGCAGTGCAGATCCTGTAAAATGTAGATTTCCCTAAAAATGCAAATTTTTTTCCCAAAAAATGAAGAATTTGCCCTAAAAATGCGCGATGTTCCTCCAAATTGAAGTTACGATTCGAAAAATGGGATTTTTTTTCCCCTTAAAATTATGAATTTGGCCCTAAAAATACGTGATTTTTCTAAAAATGAAAGTTTAGAATCTAAAAAAATGAAATTTTGCCCTAAAAATTGAAGTTTAGATCCTAAAAATGGGAAATTTGCCCCAAAAAGATGAGATTTTCCCCCCAAAAAATTGAAGTTTTGATCCTACAAAATGCAGGGGGGTTTTCCCTAAAAATGGGATTTTCTTCCCTAAAAATGAGGAATTTGGCCCTAAAAATGCAGGATTTTCCCCAGAATTGAAGTTCAGATCCTACAAACTGTAATTTTTTTTTTTTTTTTTCTTAAAAATTGGGAATTCCCAAAAAAAGCAACGATTTTGGGGAATTCTCACTCACCGGAGATGAGCTGGTCCAGGTCCAGCTGCTGGCCTTGCTCCTCGTCCACGTGGAGCACCAGGAACCCTGGAGGGAATTTCGGGATCAGGGATGGGGAATGTTCCCCAAAATCCCCAAAATTCTCCCCAAAAAAATCCCCATCAAAACAGCCCAAAACCCAACAAAAACCCTCAAAACCCCCCAGGGCCGATGTCACCTCCTGGTGACAAAAGCCACCACTGGGACAAGGTGACAGGAGCTGAGGCCACCTGGGGACAACTTTGGGGTCACCAGGGACCCCAAAACCTTCAACATTACCCCAAAAATCATCAAAAATCACCCCAAAACCTTCAGAATTCCTTAAAAATCACCCGAGACAACAGAACCCCACCAAAAATCCCTTGGGGACCTCCAGGGCCGATGTCACCTCCCGGTGACAAAAGCCACCACTGGGACCCCAGAAGGTGACAGGAGCTGAGTCCACCTGGGGACAAATCTGGGGTCACCAGGGACCCCAAAACCTTCTGAATGACCCCCAAAACCACCCAAAACCACCCAAAACCACCCAAAATCACCCAAAACCCCCTTGGGGACCTCCAGGGCCGATGTCACCTCCCGGTGACAAAAGCCACCACTGGGACACCAAGCAGGGACAGAACCTGAGTCCACCTGGGGACAACTTTGGGGTCACCAGGGACCCCAAAACCTTCAGAATGACACCCAAAACCACCCAAAACCACCCAAAACCACCCAAAACCACCCAAAATCACCCAAAATCACCCAAAAACCCTTGGGGGCCTCCAGGGCCGATGTCACCTCCCAGTGACAAAAGCCACCACTGTGGTGACCTCAAGAGGTGACAGGACCTGGGGACAACTTTGGGGTCACCAGAGACCCCAAAACCTTCTGAACAACACCAAAATCCACCCAAAACCATCCAAAACCACCCAAAACCACCCAAAACCCCCGTGGAGACCTCCAAGATCGATGTCACCCCTTGGTGACAAAAGCCACCACTGGGACCCCGTGAGGTGACAGGACCTGGGGACAAGACTGGGGTCACCAGGGACCCCAGAACCTTCTGAGTGACCCCCAGAACCAGCCAGGAGCAGCCCCAAAGGCCTCGGGGACCCCGCGGTGGCTGGTGGCCCCGGTGACAAAGGCCACCGCGGGGTCCCCGTCCCTCACCGAGGGACATGGCCGCCGCCGCCCGCAGCTCCTGCCAGGGGCTCCTGAAGTAGAAGAGGTTGGTGGAGATGAGGCGGCCCAGCAGCTCCGGGCGGCTGCGCATCTGCGGGGACAGCGGGGACGTTCCTGGGGACATTGGGACACTGGGGGGATTGGGGGACATTGGGGGACATTGGGGACATTGGGG